GTGTTGAACCTGTTTGTAATAAGCATTACATGTCTTTTATGATGAGCATTGTGATTGCTCAAATATCACTACCACAACTGGGCTTTTAACTCTGTCAATAAAGTTGTATTTTTTATATTTTTTGAGTATATAATAATTTTGTGGTATTTTGTGGTATTAGTTTTTCCAGTTAGGGTTTTCATATTTTTCAGTGTCTTGTTAATAAGGGGGTGTGGCGCCATTAAAACCTACCAACAAGGGGTGAAACCTTATTATGGGCCTCTCTCCATTACTAATGTTTTGATTACTGTGCTTCAGTTTTGGTGCCAATCACTGGCTCTGTCCATTCTGAAAAGGGAGAGACTGGTAAATGAGATATTTACTGGTCCCTTCCCTGCTCTCCATCCTGGGGAAAAGGGAACCAGGGGAGCACAGTTGACAGTTGTAAACCAATGACAGTTGTAAACAATAGATGGCTTCCTTTCATGCCATCCATTGTATACAATCGTGTCACTAGCTGTGATTGGTCAAAAAATAAATAAAAAAAACATTTTTTTAATTCTTCATTTTCCAAAAAATTATGACAAAAAAAATTACAAATTCAAAAAAAACTCGCCATGTCTCTCATGAAATAAGTCAGACTGTCTACTTTGCAAAAACGGGTCATTTGGGGATATTTGCTCCCTCTTAAACCTCTATCCACAGGTGTCAGTATGTAAGTTCGTTAAAGCACATCATATGGGATCCTGAGGAAGCCACGTGGGCGTGGCGTAACGCGTAGAGGTGACGTGGTGATGCACTTCTGCTAGGCGCCATCTTGGTACACCAGGGTGCATCCATTACACCCATGTTAGTGGTGGAAAAAGCCTGTTGATTTCTACAGAAATGTGAGTGGACATTTTGGCGAATTTTATCCTATTTTAGCAATAAATAACAGTATTACACTATGGAGTCTTTCTTTTTATGGCCCCATATGATGAGCTTTAATGAGTTTACATACTGACGCCTGTGGATGGAGGTATAAGAGGGAGTGAAGGAGAGACCAGCAGGGGCTGTGGAGCCTGTCCCACCCGGAGATTGCGAGCAGGATCCAGGGTGATCCAAAAGGCTTTAGCGGGTGCAGTGGGAAGGTAAGCGTGCATGCCTGCAGTGTAGGATTTCTCACTTCACTTTCTCACCAAGCACAGGAGCACGCATGAAAACGCATGGCTGGAGTGACCATGCAGCAGTTTTAAAAGTTTCATATGGACTTTTACATGATATTGTGGTTTGTTTTAATACGGGTCATATGCGACCTGCAGTGTAGGATTCTCACTTCACTTTCTCACCAAACACAGGAGCACGCATGAAAACGCATGGCTGGAGTGACCATGCAGTAATTTGATAGTTTCATATGGACTTTTATGTGTTATTGTAGTTTTGTTTTAATACGGGTCATAGTACGTATCACCTATGAGGTAGTTTTTATCCCTGTATAGGGATTCATTGTGGTTGTAATCACGTTCATTTCTGCTATAATCAATCCCTAGACGGGAAGGAAATTTATACCACCTATATAGGTTCTATAGAACCTCTTACTCTGCACTGATTTTCACTTGTGTATCACCGAATCAGATCCGATTAGATCTAACACCATATATAGAAAATTGTATTGTATGGTTTATATGTTACTATTATCCAATATATAGGGTGGGTATATCCACCAGCCAGCTGTATATGTAGCGCTGCATCATAGTGTCAATATTGTTTATATCCATCCTGAGGGGATGTTTGGATGAGAGCTGCTCCCGTATAGACATGTATAGCAGCGCAGGAGGACCCCCAATTATAATCTTAGTACTTCAGGATTGATCAATTTTTAGATATATCCCATAGTTTGTGAACTCTATAACTTTCCTACAGACTGAATAATAAATACTGATTTGGGTTATTTTCACCAAAGAAATGCAGCAGAATACATCTTGGCCTAAATGTATGAAGAATTATTTATTTGCAATTTGTTATAACAGAAACAAAGAAAAACTTTGAAAGAAAAAAATACCACCAAAAGAAAGCTCTAGTTGTGGGAACAAAATGATACAAATGTAGTTGGGTACAATGCTGCAATTGTCATTGAAAGTGTGAGAGCGCTGAAACCTGAACATTGTCCTGGGCAGGAAGGGGGTGACAGTGCCCGGTATGGAAGGGGTTAAGGAGCCCTCTAAACCCAGAAGAGGGACCATCGGTGGAACACTATCTACAACTACAGTAAATAGACATCTTCCAATTGCAGTATACAGCTGAGCTCTTCATATTATATTGCTGTGTAACTATCCAGCTATTAGATTTTACACCTGGGCTTAAAGCAGATCAATAGTCAGAAATCATAAAAATCAAATGCATTGCCTTAGCTATTCCATAACCTCTAGGGACATACCCAAAATATTTACAGCCACACAGGGAACGTAGTCACCTTCATGTAATCACCATGAAATGTATCAGGGCAGATAATGTTTTAAAATCCTCCCCATCATATTTTTGGATAATAAAAATTTGCTGGGGCCAAAAATTCCGTGTTAGAGGGCCCATTTATATTTTGCGGTGCATCAATTGCACATTAACCTATTGAAAATATTGGGCTGCCAATGCACCCAAAACATGTAAGGAATTGGAAGACACTACCAAGCTTTGCCATGCATGGAGACATCCTGCAACACAGGAGCATTGCCTTAGGCCTCTTTCACATTGGGCAAACATGGTAACCAAACCCCTTCCAAATGTGATCTGGGGTGGATCACTTTTCAGAGGTTTGCAGGCAGTCAGGAGGAGATACAGCCACCTTCTAGCCCATTCAGCCTTGTCCATTTACATACATAGAAACTCATGTGTTTTGCTGCATGAAAATGCAATTTAAGTAGAAATCCAATTCTTTCTGTTGGGGCGGGTTCACATCTACAAGCTGCAGTTTAGTGTGTTTCTAAAAGGGAAACTCTCTGTACCCATTTGCACCTATTCATGTGTTACCATGTGTGTTGTTACCATGTGTGTTACCATGTGTGTTACCATGTGTGTTGCCTTGTGGAAACTCCCGCCATGTTTTTATTAGTGAGCCCTTGTTACATCATTGTTCCCCTCCTTACATTAGTGAGCCCCCCGTAACATCAATGTGTCCCTCCTGTCATCAGTGAGCTCCTTGTTACATCACTATACTCCTCCCTTCAATAGTGAGCCCCCGTTACATTAGTGTATCCCTTATTACATCAGAGAGCCCCCGTTACATCATTGTTCCCCTCCTTACATTAGTGAGCCCCCTGTAACATCAATGTGCCCCTCCTGTCATCAGTGAGCCCCCATTACATCACTATACTCCTCCCTTCACCAATGAGCCCCCATTACATCAGTGTGCCCCTTCTTACATCAGCGAGAACCCTGTTACTTCAATGGCCCCCTCCCCCTTCATCAATGAGCTCCTGTTACATCAACATGCCCCCCCCTTTCATCAATGAGCTCCCTTTACATCAATGTGCCCCTCCCTTCACCAGTGAGCCCCCATTACATAAGTGTGCCCCTCTCTTCATTAGTGAGCCCCCATTACATCAATGTGTCCCTCCCTTCATCAGTGTACCCTGTTACATCAATTAAATCAATGTGCCCGCTTACATTTGAATTAAATTCAAATTACTAACAACAACTTACAGGGCCGTCCACAACTCTGTCCCCAGCTACATCACTAACTTTGTCTCTAAATACCAACCTAATCATTCTCTTCGATCCTCCTGCTCTCTAGCTCCCTTGCTCTCCTCCTCCTCCTCCTCCCATGCTTTCCTCCAGGACTTCTCCCAAGCTTCTCCCATCCTCTAGAACTCCCTATCCTAACCTGTCTGACTATCTCCTACTTTGTCTGCTTTTAGGCAATCCTTGAAAACTCATCTCTTCAGAGAAGCCTATCCTGCCCCCCCCCCCCCCCCCCCCCAACAACTGTACCTTTATTTTCTCCATCAACTTATCCCCACTGTTTTACCTTTTGAATCTCTTGACCCTCCCTCTTAGAATGTAAGCACCAATGAGCAGGGCCCTCTAATTCCTCCTGTATTATATAGTGCTGTAATTGTCCTGTCTGCCCTCATGTTGTGAAGTTCTGTGTTATCTGTTGGCGCCATATAAATCCTGTATAATAATAATACTAATAATAATCAGCAGCAGGGCAGGAGCTGGGAGGTGGAGCAAGTCTGAATGGGGGAAGTTCTGTCCTCTTCTAAAAGCTGAGGGGAGGGGAGAAGAAAGTGATGTCATTGGTTGTTAGGATGCTGGTGGTCCCTTGTGGTCCCAGCAATCAGCAACAGTTGTGGTTAGGGAGGTTGGGGGGGGGGGGGGGGGAGTTTTACAGCACTTAGGTTCTGAGCTGGCAATGCAGAAGCTGCCAGCCCCATTCCCCTTAGGGCCCATGTGCCACACACACATTGCAAACATGGAGGATACACCACTGACCCCTACTCACAATGAGCCATGGATGGACTAAGTTATTCAGTAGATTGTATTTTAACAATTAAAGACAGATATGTTGATAAGCCACAAAAACACATTTAAACATCTCAAAAATCCTGCAGACGTGGCCAATGTCCAGGCCATTCTGGTAGACAAAGCTGTGACATGTCTGGAGCAGCTTCCCCCATATTTCATTGGGCTCTGACTCTGATGGACTAACTGGCCAATAGATATGTGCAAGAGGCAGGAAGGCATGGAGCTTTGCTAGTCATAAGAGCCCGGAATTCAATCTTATTGGGGCACTTTCAAGGCCGATGCAGGTGAAAAAAACCCTATTTCCCTAAACTTTATATCTGTAGACAGTTTTTGATATAAAGACAAACATTTTCAAACATTCCTTCAGCTCATAGTGTTATCATCAGGCTGGCATGTTACAATATTGCACATGTACTTTCCTTCTTAGTACTAGACTCTGTAAACTGTCTAGACACACTCTCTATTAGCTCTCTCTCTCTTTGCTCTCTCTCTTTGCTCTCTCTCTCTCTCTCTATCTTTTCTCTCTCCTGATGAAGTTGGATCTCATTGATGTAGTTGTACATAAAAATTCTCTTCCTTTCTATCCGCTCTCTTCTCGGGTCTCTTGGCTGTTCCAGGCGGAATCTGACGTTCCTCAAGGCGCTGTCTATCACCATCAGGATGTCGGCGGTTTTTTCTCAGAGTTTTTTTGTGGCTTTCCCGTGTGTAATTCTCAATGGCGATCACTGTCTCCGCCCCCATGAGTCTAAATTTTTTCTCAGTTTCCATGTAATCTCCTGCGGTTTTGAAGGTGAGGACAATGATCGGAACGATCCCTGAAAAAAAGGAACACAGTGAGCATCTCAAAGAAATCTCAGTAACCAAAGGAGTATTTATAATTAGGCAGGGCAGGCCTGTGCCTAGGGGTGGTTGTGTATTACTGGGCCCCCTGTGAAATTGCATGTACATTCGTTATTTGCAAATGGCAGAAAAATTTTATGTTATTAGGCTATTTTCTTTGAAGTTCATATACTCCTCATCCAAACATCATAGAGAGAATCAGGAAAATACCAGTGCCATTTATAAATGGTGGCCAGTAGACAATGAATGTGTAATGCCCTCCAGGTTATATAGGTAGTTTTTTGTTAGATAGAGGTTGGGTAGCAGCCTGGGGATGAGTCAGCCTGGGGATTGAGGTAGTGAGGTTACCCAGGACAGCCTGGGAGGCTCTGACAGGTCAGAGTTTCTGGAGCCCTGGAACCTGAGGAACGGAGGAAGGGAGGGGGCTCAGATCTGCATACCTGAAGGACCTTGGCCAATCACCTGGCAGGAGGCTGGGCATGGTGACCAAGGCAACCGTTAAGTAGGACAGAGCCTGGGAGGATGTCAGTAAATGTCGGGTGGAAGGTGGAGTGATGAGATGGAGCCTGGGAGGAGGCCCCAGGAAGGGGACCTACCCATGGGCAGGATTTTACAAAAGAGGACCTCCAATGTACCACCGTCTCCCAGGGAGGACATCCTGGCCAGCGGGGAAGGAGCCAGCCCAGTGTAAGGCCTGAAGGCAACCACCAACCCACCAGGCTGACAGGAAAGAACAGTGTGAGCACTCTTACACCCCGTATCTTTTCCTGAAAATTTGTGCTTGATAAACAGCTGCACAAACATCTTATGACCATTTTTCTCCAGGGCCCCTGCTTTGAAAATATTTTAAAATTCTTGGGGTTCTAAGTATTTTTGTAAAAAAAAAAATGTTAAATTTAACATGTTTGAAAAATGTCAAAATTGCCCAGCGTTAAGTGGGTAAACACATTCCCAGCTGCTATACTCTGTGAAGGTACTACCCCCTCCTGACTGCCCCTACTATGTATCCTGGGCTTTGCTGTCCCACCTGCAGAGCTAGGACAAGCATTCTTGGTGGGTGTCGTCTGGTGAAAGGAAGGGAGACCATTGAACAGCTTTTCTCTGGTCTTGGTTCTGCTGAATGAACACTTAAGTGACACATATCACTTCCGGTTTCAGCTGTCATTTCGCCTGGCTGCTGTGTCTGGGGAAGAAGCTAATGAAGCACGGTCTGTGCTCTATTAGCTTCAGTGCAGGGCAGGGGAGACATCAGGGTCTAACAAACCCCTGATTTATCAATAAAGATAATTATACATCAAGCAAACATCTTTTAGCCCCCTATGTGTTAGAAATAAGGTTAATTGTAAAAAAGGTTAAAAAAGTAAAGTAACATACAAAATATGAAATACCAAAAAAAAAAAAAAGTCTCTAGTCCTGACATACACTACTCAAAAAAATTAAAGGAACACTTTGAAAACATATAAAACCTCAATGGGGAAAACTCTCCTGCTGGATCTCTATACTGACATGGACAGGGTAATGTGTTAGGAATGTAAGGACGCCCCATCGATTGTTGGAAATGAAAATGATCGACCTACAGAGGACTGAATTCAAAGACACCCCGAAAATCAAAGTGAAAAAATGGTGCAGCAGGCGAGTCCATTTTGCTGAAATGTCATTGCAGCAACTCCGAATGGTCCTCAGTAGTTTGTATGGCCCCCATGTGCTTGTATGCATGCCTGACAATGTCGGGGCATACTCCTAATGAGATGAAGAGGACGGGCATTGCTGTGCACCAGGAGGAACCCAGGACTCACTGCACCAGCATAGGGTCTGACAGTGGGTCCAAGGATCTCATCCCCATACCTAATGGCAGTCAGGGTGCCATTGTCTAGCCTGTAGAGGTCTGTGTGTCCCTCCATGGATATGCCTCCCCAGACCATCACTGACCCACCACCAAAACAGTCATGCTGAACCATGTTACAGGCAGCAGAACATTCTCCATGGCTTCTCCAGACCCTTTCACGTCTGTCACATGTGCTCAGGGTGAACCTGCTCTCATCTGTGAAAAGCACAGGGTGCCAGTGGTGGACCTGCCCATTCTGGTGGTCAATGGTAAATGCCAATTGAGCTCTATGGTGCCGGGCAGTGAGCACAGGGCCCACTAGAGGACGTCAGACCCTCAGGCCACCCTCATGAAGTCTGTTTCTGATTGTTTGGTCAGAGACATTCCCACCAGTGGCCTGCTGGAGGTCATTTTGTAGGGCTCTGGCAGTGCTCATCCTGTTCCTCCTTGCACAATGGAGCAGATACCGGTCCTGCTGATGGGTTAAGGACCTTCTACAGCCCTGTCCAGCTCTCCTAGAGGAACTGCCTGTCTCCTGGAATCTCCTCCATGCTCTTGAGACTGTGCTGGGAGACACAGCAAACCTTCTGGCAATGGTACGTATTGATGTGCCATCCTGGAGGAGTTGGACTGCCTGTGCAACCTCTGTAGGGTCCAGGTATGGCCTCATGCTACCAGTAGTGACACCGACCCTAACCAAATGCAAAACTAGTGAAAAAAAAAAGAAAAGATGAGAAGGGAAAACATGTGAGTGGACTCCACCTGTAAAACCATTCCTGTTTTGGGGGTTGTCTCATTGTTGCCCATCTAGTGCACCTCTTGTTCATTTCATTAACACCAAAGCAGCTGAAACTGATGAACAACCCCCTCTGCTACTTACCTGACCAGATCCATATCCCAGGAGTGTCACTGACTTGATGCTAGACTCGGATTACAAAGTCTTCCTTTTATTTTTTTTTGAGCCGTGTACATGCACATAGGAACATAACACATGTGACAGGGCATGCTTACATATGAAAACGACTATTGCATTACACATTACACATCACTGTGAACAATAGAATGAGAACAATAATTCCGGGGTCATTGTTCATGGTTACCTCTACACTTATATCCCGTACAGCGCCACCTATGGACAATTGTGGGTACTGCAGTTATCAACATTTCACAGCCATGCAGGATTTCAAGGCTTGACATGCTGGTTATATATTTACTCTTCACAACCCCATCCTTTATATTTACCCGAAAATTGGGTACTATAATGTGTTTATGTGCACTAAAATTAACTGAAATGTGTTATTTTACTAAAAATGTGCATTTGATAAACATATGTGCTATTGTGTGAAAAAAAATAAAGAATGAAACTACCACCATTTCTTTCTCCAGGGCATCTGCTTTAAGAAAATCTGTAATGTTTGAGGAGTTTAATAATCTTCAGGCCTAGATGGAGCTGATAATCATTGAAGATAAATACTGTATATAAATACAAATAAAATAAAGACATAAATAATTATAAATATAATTATCTCTCTACTGGCGTCTTCCCCTCCCCGCTAAAACATGCGCACATCACCCCCATACTCAAAAAGCCCTCCCTGGACCCCACTGACCTCAACAACCTCAGACCAATTTCCCTGCTGCCACTCACTTCCAAGCTCCTTGAGCGCTTGGTGTTTCGATCGCCTAAGCGCCCACCTAACTGACAGCAACCTCCTTGACCCACTACAGTCCGGCTTCCGTCCCCTACACTCCACCGAAACTGCCCTCCTCAAAATCACCAACGATCTACTAACCGCCAAAGCCAAAGGCGACTATTCTGTCCTCCTTCTCCTAGACCTCTCCGCGGCCTTTGACACAGTCGACCACCCCCTCCTCCTTAATAAACTACTCTCCCTTGGCATCAGAGACACCGCTCTCTCTTGGTTCTCGTCCTATCTATCCCAATGCTCCTTCAGCGTTTGCTACAACAATGCCACCCTCCTCTTCCCTCCCCCTCTCTGTTGGGGTCCCCCAGGGCTCTGTCCTTGGACCCATTCTCTTCTCCATCTACACCTCCTCCCTTGGCAAACTCATACACTCCCACGGCTTCAATTACCACCTCTACGCTGATGATACTCAAATGTACCTCTCCACCCCCCACCTCACCCCCACATTCTCCGCCCGCATCACTCACCTCCTAAACGACATCTCTGACTGGATGTCGCTCCATTTCCTGAAGCTCAACTCTCTCCAAAACCGAGCTTCTCGTCCCCCCCAGCCCGCACCCCCCCCCCCCCCATCCTTTCCAACACCACCACCATCAATCCCGCCCAGCAAGCCAAGGTCCTTGGCGTCATTCTGGACTCAAACCTTTCCTTTCAACCTCATATCAAATCACTGACAAACACATGCAGGCTCCACCTCCGGAACATCGCCAAGATACGCTCCTTCCTTACCCCAGACACTACTAAACTACTCGTACACTCCCTGATTATCTCACGCCTTGACTACTGCAACTCCCTCCTCACCGGCCTACCCCAGTGCAAACTCTCCCCGCTTCAGACCATCCTGAACTCAGCTGCCAGACTCATCCACCCACCTCACCAGCCGCTCCACCTCTGCCACCCCCCTCTGCCTCTCCCTCCACTGTCTCCCCATTGCCCAACGCTTTAAATTCAAATTGCTCACCCTGACCTATAAGGCCATTCACAACACTGCCCCTGACTACCTCACCGATCTGATTCCCAGGTACCACCCTACCCGTACCCTTCTTCGCTCCTCACAGGACCTCCTTCTATCTTGCTCCCTGGTCTCCTCCTCCCACGCACGACTGCAAGACTTCTCCAGGTCCTCCCCCATCCTCTGGAACTCACTACCCCAATCCACCAGACTGTCACCTTCCCTCCTCACCTTCAGGCGCTCCCTGAAACCCACCTCTTCAGGGAAGCCTACCCCACCCTGACCTAACAGCCACTGCCCTTCCCTCCTCCTACCACTCCATCCCCCACAGCCACTTCCTCCTGTGCCTCTACCCCCTCCCTCCTAGATTGTAAGCTCGAAAGAGTAGGGCCCACTTACCCCTTGTGTGCTGTTTGATGTTACTGTACTGTTTCATGTATTGTCCCCCCCTCTATTGTACAGCGCTGAGCAAACCCTTTGGCGCTATATAAACTAGATAAATAAATAAATAAATATAAATAAACATTTCCTATTTCCATCAGCTCCATCTAGTGACCATAATGTGCTATTTCTCTGATTCACTTTATTATTATGAATGAAAAACATTTGACCTGGAGGGAACATAGCCTAATGACATTTGTTTTTGCCCCCCCTCCCGTCCACCACCACCATTCACACCGGAAGAATGTACATGCAGTTTCAAGGGACGAATGGCTTTGCCATTTTTAAATTTTTTTAATATTAATATTTAATATATTTGGTGAAAATTTGCTGCGACTCCTTTACTTTGCAGCCTAAGGCGCATATGTCTGTTGCTTCCCCTCTAGAGCGTCACATGCAGTATTTTCTTCCTTTACCACAGCTGTCTGCAGTAATCCCGCCCCTGGTGTCTGACTGACAGGTAACGTGGCCAATCACATGCTGGCCAAAGTGCTGGCAGCAAGGTTAGTAGAATGGATGGCAATTAAAGGGAAAGGGTAATAGAACCGTGTCACCAAAATAAGTATTCACACAGAAAAAAAGTTACCTGTCATTTTTATGCAGTTTTCCAAAAAATGTTTCACGTCTTGCAGTTCTCCAGCTGACATGTGTTGTCTGGCACTGGAGAGGAGTAGAAGAACACCATGGACATCAATGTAAATGGATAAGAAGACCCTTTCATGCCTATCTACATCACACAATTATTGTATATTTACTTTTAATGAAATTAAATATTTTGTATGTTTTTTTTTTTTTTTTTTTTTTTTTTTTTTTTGCTTAAGAGACCTATTATATCATGCACAGTGAAAAGTGAGACACTCCGGGATTATCTACCTTTGATAGGAAGTGGCCTTGTTAGTGCAATCACCGGGACAAATTAGGGAACCATCATTTTACAGCGATGAAATAATACTTCCCTGCTACCTGCTTCTCAGACTATACTAACAAACTGTATGCTGTCATGTTTGTATTGTATTGTTTAAAAAAGAAAAATAATAATAATACTGCCCTCCCCCCCCCCAAATCAAAAAACATTTTCTCTCCCACTTCAGCTCTGGAAGATTTTACCCTCTTCATGACCAGGCCATTTTTTGCAATTCAGCACTGTGCTACTTTAACTGACAATTGCATGGTCATCAAACATTGTATCCAAATGAAATTTATATAATTTTGTTTCCACACAAACAGAGCTTTCTTTTGGTGGTATTTGATCATCACTGTTTTTTTATTATTTTTATTTATATTATGTAAACGAAAACATTTTGGAAAAACATTATTTTTTATTTTCTGCTATAAAACATATCCAATAATAATAATAATAATAATAATAATAAAAATAAAAAAGCTTCATAAATTTAGGGAAAAATGTATTTTGCTACGTCTTTAGTAAAAAAAAAAAAACACCGATAAGTGTTATAGTGCCTACAAACTATGGGATATATATACTGGATTTTTTTTATACTAGTTATGACGGTGATCAGTGAATTATAGTGGGACTGTGATAGTGCAGAGGGCAATCTGACACTAAATGACACTTGGCGGGAACTGACTAACTGCCACTGACATCACCAGTGGCACTAATACAGTGATCAGTACTAATACCATACACTGTCACTGTACTAATGACACTGGCTGGGAAGTGGATGGAATCTAGGGCAATCAAAAGGTTAACTGTGTGCCTAACAAGTGTTATTCTGTGTCATGTCTGCTGCTTTTTACAAAATATATTTTTATTTTCTTATCCCTGCTTTGCAGGGAAAAGAAACAGGGAAATTGATACCTCTATAAAGAGCCCTGTGTGGTTTGTCAACACAGGGCCCTGGGCTGTGATTGGACACAGCCCATCAGCAGGTCCCGGTCATGAACCATTACTGACAAACTTCTGCTGTGTACAACCACAGCGAGAGCAGATGGGTGGGGGTGTCGCTGTGCCTGTATGGTCCGCACACAAATGGTTAAACCCCCATGGTCACCTCCAGTTCTGAACATGTCACCAACAAACATATCATCAGATCAGCCCCTCACCCAGTTCCTGACAACCAAAGTGCTCCAAGGATGCATCGCCCAACACAAGACTCCCTTACCTGTACACAAAGATGGGGACAATGAAGTCTGTGAAATTCGGATCCAATTCTGAATTTTCGACGGCCCCCATCATAGCACTGTAGTTGTTTTTCCATTCAACTCTCTGCCCGATGGGGATGAGGTTTCCTGGAATTGATAAAAGAATGCGTCACGCAGGAAAGTTGGAGAGCAAAAATATTTATTCCATTTAAATAGCTCAAATGAAAGTTGCATGTACGGCCAATGTGCTTCAGGGGCATTAAGGAGGTGTCGTAAAATGGATTTCTTATAGGATTTGATAGGTACAGTCGTAACGTGTAGAGAATAGAAAGCTGGCTGGGAGGGTATATTCAACAAACTTCAGTGAGATCCTGCGGACTTCCAACCAAAAAGGTTTAAGTTTAGAGCAGGACCTAAATATATGGAGCATGGTCCCCCGATCCTCCTGACATCTCCCACAACAATGCATGATGGTTGGGAAATATTTACAAAGCACCACAGGCATGTGGTACCACCTGGTCAAAATTTTGAAGTTTTCCTGAAATTGTGTTCATATAGAAGAATTGAAGTGAAGCAGATAATACGATGCAGTTGGTTTGGGGAGAAAGTTCTATTCAACTCTCTCCCCCATTTCTGTAAATGTACAGGTTTGAAACCCGGAGGAGACGAGAGGAGAAGGACATACATCTGAGAAAGGGTGTGAGGAAGAGGGTCCTCATCATTACAGAACTTTTCAAAAGGAGTCAGTCGCCTATGAAAACAGGTGGATGGAGGGAGAGATTCCAGAAAGTGTTTAAGCTGTGGTGATCTCCAGAGGTCCAGGCCAAATCGCCCCGTCGGCAACATCAAGTCTTCCAGAGAGGGCCATGTGGCAGATTGTAGAAAGTGAGGAGCTTGGAAGACTTTAGTCTTCAACAGAGTGTGGAAAGGACCTTCCTGGAGACCTGGAGGGAATGTTGGGCGTCCCAAAATTGGAAAAAGAGGAGAGTAGGTGGATGATAGTTGAGTGTTGCTTGTTGCTACAAATTCGGGCACAGACCCTCAACATTATTATCTTTTTATCCCCTTCCCCCTCCTCCTCCACCTCCCCCTCCTCCCTTTCTTTATATATATATATATTTTATTTTTTTTTAATTCTACCGAAAACATGGACCCTGACCATTAACCTCTAACCATTAATGCTGACCTTTGGCCCTGACCTTTACCCTGAAACTAACCTAGAACACGCCCTTATCTAGATATAATATATTATTATTATTACTACTATTTTTTTTTTCTTTACATTCCTCTGACACACAGATTTTTATTTTTTACATTTTTTCCTCTCTGACACTCACTGTGCCATCCAATGACTGCTCAGTCTCTATGCAGAGAGCTCACTATTACCAGAAATGCCTGTGCACATAGATGCGGTGCTCCAGAAGAAAGCCCAATTACACAAAGTCATGGATTTGTGTGACACCAGAGGGAACAAGTTAAACAGGTACGTCCAGAAAAATACGTTGGGGTTGCTTTACTAAAGGCAATCATACCTTCCACTCTGCAAATTCAGTATCTCCAGAGCTTAGTAAATGGGATGAAGATTCCCTTTGCCAAAAAAAACCCAATCACAGGGAAAAGACAAAAAAAGATTTTTGCTTGCACCTGATTGGATGATGGAAGTCAGCAGAGCTTCCCCTCATGTACCAAGCTCTGGAGCAACTGCACTTGCAGAGTGCACAGTCTTTAGTAAATCCTCCCCATAGTTGGGTGAAGAGGGGAGAGCTGTTTTCATCTCCAGCAAAAGCTGTTTTACTGGGCAGCCGGGAAGACGTGTGTCTTGGGCGCGGTCCTGGCCGGTGAGTCTTGGATGTGCGGTGCTACAAATTACTTTTTGTTTTCACAAGATTGTATTTCTGACATCTGAATGTATATAATTCATGGTCTTTACAAAGGATAAGGGGGTGTCAGTCTATGCAGAACACGTCTGTAACAGAACCAGACCCCGGCTGCAGTAGGGTATTTCCATTAGACTCCCGCTTCCCTGTCCGAACACAGATCCCCGGACACCACCGCTGACCATACAGGAAATAGACAGCACCAGACTTCTTAATACAGTAAGTAGAACTGCTTTATTTTAACACAAACACAATATATATACACAGGGCGGGGAAATACAACCAGTAACAGGAAACACATCAGCAGGCCGTCCCATCAGGGGGAAGGGCTGCCAGAAACACCCCCCACCAAACCAAGACACACAATAGAACAATGGGATACACCACATGGCAGCAGACAATACAGGAACACATACATCTTATAATAGTTTGCTGGCCAGCAAGACACACAATAGAACAATGGAACAATCACATGGAAGTGAACAATGAACAACCCCCACACCCAGCCTATACATGTCTACACAATATCAGGACAGGTCACCCTGTACCCCTAACAGGCACAGGGTGCCTTACACATAAGAGGGACTTGGGGAGATAAGATAGGGGTCTCCCCACCTCTCCAAAGGGGGCTGTGTTCCATCGGCCCCCCACCCAAAGTCACTCCCGTCACAACATCATTTTTCCAATAATATAAAACCTATTAACTATTTTGATCTTTTAGAGTTAATCTCACTGCATTGTTTATTGATACATTTCTTAAATTATAGGGTAATGAACCGAAGTTGCTTTCAGGATGACTCTGGGGATGCAAACTACAGCTGAGATCTGACAGTTGCTGTTCTGTCAGCTGGCTAATTCTTAGGATGCTGCCTCCCAGCTCTGGAGTGCACATAACATGTCTGATACTCATATGCTCCTTCAAACTAATCAGTAATTGTTCCTTTAGGGAGTGTGTAGCGCCCAAAGCACTGTGTTCTCCAATATGGCCCGATCCCTCTGTTCCAGACTCAGATATCAAGTGGAAGTAAACCCTCCTATCCTTTACATCAAAGGTCTCAAGAAATTCCCCGGGGGGGCAGATGCAGCCCTTTACTTGCCTTTATCCGGCCCTTGAGACAATATTTCCCCCACTGACACCAATGATGGAGCACCATTTCTCCCATTGACACTAATGATGGAACACCATTCCTCCCATTGACACCAATGATAGGGCACTATTTCTCCCACTGACACCAATGAGGGAGCACCATTCCTCCCACTGACACCAATGATAGGGCACCATATCTCCCACTGATACCAATGATGGGGCACTATTCCTCCCACTGACACCAATGATAGGGCACTATATCTCCCACTGATAAGGCACCATTCCTCCCACTGACACCAATGATAGGGCACTATATCTCCCACTGATAAGGCACCATTCCTCCCACTGACACTAATAATGGAGCACCATTACTCCCACTGACAGCATTGATAGGGCACCGTTCCTCCTCCTGGCAGCAATGGTGGAGCACCATTCCTCCCACTGACACCAATGATGAAGCACCATTCCTCCCCCTGTTACCAAAGATGGAGCACCATTTCTACGACTGATACCAGCAATGGGGCACTATTCCTCCCACTGACACCAATGATAGGGCACCATTTTTTCCCACTGACACCAATGATGGAGCACCATTCCTGCTACTGACACCAATAATAGGGCACCATTCCTCCTACTGACACCAATAATAGGGCACCATTCCTCCCTCTAACACCATTGATAGGGCACCATTTCTCCCACTGACACCAATGATAGAGCACCATTTTTCCCACTGACACCAATGATGGAGCACCATTCCTCTCACTGACAGCAATGATAGAGCTCCATTCCTCCTACTGACACCATGGAGCACCATTTTTACCACTGACACCAATGATAGGGCACCATTCCTCCCACTGACACCACTGATGGAGCACCATTACTCTCCCTGACACCAATGTTGGAGCGCCATTTCTTCCACTGATACCAGAAATGGGACACTATTCCTCCCACTGCCACAACTGTCTGGCTCCCCCTAAAGACATAAAACTGGCCCTTGAAAAGGTCAGGAGACGCGTTGCTTTAAAGCCAAGGAAGTTGTCATCTTAGCCTCCGTTTGACCTGTAGTTGCCATGGTGTTGCCCATGTGATCAGTTATGACACCAGACATGTGATGACTTGAGTTCTGTTCCAACTGGTATTATGCATGGAAAGCCTTGAATGTAACTTTTTTTGGAAACAATTATGTCAGTGGGTTAGGTTCCACATTCAGGAGGCCATATCTGTAGTGAGCAGAGATATCTTTACTACAACCAAGACTACAGAAGTCATACAAGGGTCTAAGGGCTAAGGAGTGACCAACAACCTGTTACCAAGCTAAGGGACACATCTGGATTTATTTTCGGCCACGAGTAATTTAACATTTTATACATTTTGGCTAGCCCGCCAGTCCCATAGCCTTTGGGGCTCCCCGAATTTTACTCACCAAGCTGGGCATACACTTCAGCTCTTTCAAAATCACTCATTTTGTTGCAGCCTCTGTTGTCTACGATGGTGATTACTCTGGTAAGCTCATATTCATTTCTTATCATGGTCAATCCGTGGTCGGTTTCTCGGGCCTTGGCGTATTCCTTGAAGATCTTACGGTTTTCTAGGACATACTTACAAGAGTTAATGAAGGAAGATTTTCCATGGCCAGTGTAGCCAAACAGCTGTATGAGGACTCGAGCGTAACCCTGACTGTCCAGATCTCCGTTATTGAGGCTGAAGTTCATGATGTTGGCCGTTAGCTCTTTAATGTCCATTTTTGAAGATTCTTTTTAGTATTTCTGTATTATTTTTTGCTTTTTCCTCCTATCTTTCTCAGTTTTTTGCTATTGTCTGTGTTAGCTGTTCGCCGTAGCAGCAAATTTTACTTTCATTTGTGAAAAAGAGGGAGTTGCCGTAAAGATGATACATTTAGCTTACAGCAAACAACTTTAATAGCTAAAAATTTAATTAAATACTCAAAGAATTTCAAAATTTTTTCCTTAGGGTTAGTTTTAGAGATGAGCGAAGAAATGAAAAATTCGATTCGACTGATTCGGCGAATTCGTGGACAATATTCGATTCGAGTCGAATAAATTCGCTGTGAATTTAACTTAAAAAAG